TGAGAGAATTCATTATAACAGCAATAGGAATGCAAGACAGTGGTTTTTCTCAATCTCCCTCATTTTGCCACTTTCTAAAATACTACGAGCCTCCTCCTCCTTTTCCTCCTCTTTAGATATTTCTTCCTTGCATAAAGTTCTATGATCTGGTTCACCAAACACAGCTCTTGAAATGCTAAATATGCAAATAAGAAACTAGCAGTTTTGATTGTCTGGGTCACAAAGTTACTTTCTAGTTGTGAACCCCTAAAACTTAACATTACCATGATACCACTTGTTACCTTTCTTCTATAAGAGAATGAACCTTCACCCACACCTTTATCCCTATGCAGACAGAGGATCCCCCGAGGGAGCTACAGGAAACACTGCTCAAAAATGAAAAGCGAAATGAAAGAGGAAAAAAAAATACAATGTTTCTATAGTATAGTTCCTTTTACAAAACTACCACCTGCCATATGTTATTGCTGTGTCGTGAGTAAACTAAAGCCTTTGTCCTTAAAGAGCTTGTAGCTGAGGTCAGCACTTTGAAAATTTGAGTTCAGCATCAGAATCACAGAGAGAGCTTGTTAAAGGCACAGTTTATCTATCAGGCTGTACTCCCAGAGTTTGGGATTCAATCGGTGATATGGTTTGGCTGTGTCCCCACCCAAATCTCATCTTTTAGTTCCCATAATTCCCATGTGTTGTGAGAGGAACCCAGTAGGATATAATTAAATCAAGGAGGCCATCTGCCTCATACTGTTCTCACGGTAGTGAGTAAGTCTCATGAGAGCTAATGATTTTATAAGGGGAACCCTCTTTCACTTGGTTCTCATTCTATCTTTGCCTGCTGCCATGTAAGACCTTTCACCTCTGCCATGATTGTGAGGCCTCCCCAGCCATGTGGAACGGTGAGTCCACTAAACCTAAACCTCTTTTGCTTTATAAATTACCTAGTCTTGGGTATGTCTTCATCAGCAGTGTGAAAACAGACTAATACATTAGGTCTGAGGTGTGGCTGAGAATCTCCATTTCCAAGAGGCTCCCCGGAGATATTGGTGCTGCTTGTCTAATGAGAGAGGCAAAATGCAAGCCCAGTGATCAAAAACACAATGTAATGTATTCAAGTGCTGTTGGAGAGTACAAGTAGGCAGTTCCAGGCAGGGAGAACAGGGAGAATCCCTCACACCTGGGGATTGTGAGACATTGGAAGTGTGACAGGGCATCATGGCATCACGATATTGCAGAGGAACCTTAAGAGATACTGAAAGGAGACAATTCCAGCTCCAGCAAAGTTCATACTTGACAACACAGAGGCTGGCTGTGTGCAGGATCTGTCTTGGACACAGCCTGCAGACCTGTCAGCTGGCTGCAGGGTGTGTGAAGGAGGTTCCTAGCCTGGGAGCCCCAGGGAGTTGGAAACTGGTTAGTTCACTTGGGCACCAGATCAATTCTGTGTAATTTCATCTGACAATCCCTGTTATACAGGCTGTGTGTTAAATGTTAAGAGGACAGGGAGCAAAAACTGGTCCCATGAGAGTTCAAAATCTGATTGTGAATAAGAGGAATTGGTTGGAAGACTTCATTCAGGAAATGAAATCAGGAAAAGATGGGATGGAGACATTGCTTTTGGCAGCAGTCAGAATTGGGGCCAAGGCCGGTGGCAGTGGCTCACACCTGTAATCCCAGCACTTTGGGAGGCTGAGGTGGGCGGATCACGAGGTCAGGAGATGGAGACGACCATCCTGGCTAACATGGTGAAACCCCATCTCTACTAAAAAATACAAAAAATTAGCCGGGCGTTGTGGCGGGTGCCTGTAGTCCCTGCTACTCCGCAGGCTGAGGCAGGAGAATGGCTGAACCCGGCAGGCGGAGCTTGCAGTGAGCCAAAATCACGCCACTGCACTCCAGCCTGGGTGACAGAGCGAGACTCCATCTCAAAAAAAACAAAGAATTGGGACCAGGGCCTAAACTGAGGTCACGTCCACAGGGATGAGAGACTAGCGCAGAGCAGCAGGCAAGAAAAGAAATCAAAAGATTAATGACAGGAGGTTCAGCCAAGGTCAGGGAAAGTGAGTAGGTGGAGGGTCTGGGAGGGCAAGGGTTGAGGATGGACCACTGACCCCAGCAGGGCCAGTGATTCAACTCATCAGCTCCACAGATACAGCCAGAGGAAGCTGTGGGTAGGGTTGCAGCAGGTGCTTTGTCTTTTCCAATTCATCCTGGCTCCATTATTTCATTTTTTTTAGAGTGATGGTGTCTTGCTCTGCTGCTGGAGTGCAGTGGTGAAATTCTAGCTCACTGCAGCCTTGGACTCCTGGGCTCCACGATCCTCCAGCCTCAGCCTCCCACAATGCTGGGAATACAGGCATACACCACCACACCTAGCTAATTTTTGTAAAGATGAGGGTTTCACTACATTGCTCAGGCTGCTCTCATACTCCTGGTGTCAAGAGATCCACCCACCTTGGCCTCCCAAAGTGCTGGGATTACAGACATGAGCCACTGAGCCAAGCCCATGATTCCACATCTGAAAGCCCTGCCTGACTGCATCCAGGATGCATCCCGATAATGCATTTAAATTACAGAACACTTTGATGACATGTTTTACTTGGAGCAATGGAAAAATATTACATATTTCTTTCTAAGGCAAGACCCCAATATTCCTGGAAGTTTGATTATTAGAAGTAAACAGTGTTTGGCATTTTTGTTTATTCCATCAGGAGAGGCAAACCTCATTTTTGAAGAAGTATAGAGTTTTCATATCATGGAAACAAACTATCTGAATGGGCCATTTAGATGTGTAAAGGGAAAGGATAAATGCTATCTTCAAATGGAGAAATTCAAAATAACAAGAGGTTGAGCAACTTTGCATATTGACATGGATAATTTTAGCCACTGTGGGCCAAGGTATGGCTCTGGAGAGGCTACTATGAGGCTGAGAGAAGAGAGGGGAGAATTCTCTGCTCTCTCTAGGGTAGACTGCAAAAAGGATCCTGAATTCCCACTGGTGGCATGAAATGGGACCCTGGAAAATGGTGGCAGGTCAGGGAGTGGGAGGGAGAAGAGAAGAGCAGATGGATTTGGGGAGCCTTAGTTTATGACACATGACATATGCATTGTTTATAATTCCCTCAGGACAATTTCATCTAGAACATGGATGAGGATTCTGAGATATAGACTTAGATGTACACAATGTATGTTCAGGTGAAGGTGCAGATATAGTTATAAATAGGTTTGCAGATGGAGATGTATTAATAGTTACAATTGTACCTGTGGACATAGACATAGCCTTAGGTTTCGGTGCATGTATAGATGTAGATGTAAATATAGATATAGTTACAAATATATTGTTAAATGTAGGTATAGGTGTATGCTACAGCCTGAAGGTTTGTGAACCCCCACAAAAAACAATTGTCTTGCAGTCCTAACCCCTAAGGTTATGGTATTAGGAGGTGCAGTGACCTTTAGGAGGTGATGAGGTCAAGAGAGTGCCGCCCCATGAGTATAGGTGTATGCTACAGCCTGAAGGTTTGTGAACCCCCACAAAAAACAATTGTCTTGCAGTCCTAACCCCTAAGGTTATGGTATTAGGAGGTGCAGTGGCCTTTAGGAGGTGATGAGGTCAAGAGAGTGCCGCCCCATGAATTGAATGAACATCTTTATAATAGGGACTCCAGAGAGCTCCCTCGCCCCTTCCACCACATAAGGACACAGGGAGAAAGTGTCATCTATGAACCAGGAAGTGGGCCTCACCAGACACTGAATCTACTGGTGTCTTGATCTTGGACTCAAGAACTGTAAGCAATAAATGTGTGTTGTTTACAAGCATTTTGTTATAAAAACCTGAACAAACTAAGACAGTATAGATTAGGTGTAAATATAAGTATAATTGAAGTTATAGTCACAGTCACAGACAAGGAAAAATAAAGTTTTAGAAATAGATCTAGAAATAGATATAGACACAGATAGGTATACATCGAAAAAACAATACAGAGCATTTCCTGTGTTCCTTTTTCTCCCTGGGACAAGTGTTGAGCATTGTTACAGGGTTCCTCTGACTACATAAAGTGAAGGTGAAGAAAGACAGAATAAGTGTCTTGGTCTACATGGTGTTTATACACCTAAATGCTTCGTTAGCAAATACTGCCTTGTTTTCACAGACATGAAACATTTATTTTAAAGCACGACATACGCCCATTTAGTCCCAGTTCTGTCAGCAAACTGTAATTAGTCACGACATTCATTAAGTCTGAAAAGTGTCCCTTGTTTAACTTTCCAAGAATATTGTACTATAAGTCATTTTAAGTCATATTAAAAATCAAGTAGCCATGGCAACCAGCTGTCATGACACACTGCCTGTGTTTACACAGTACCTCAACAAAGAGTTGTAGAATAATCATGGCTTATTAAATGATTTCACAATGATCTGTCATGCTTATTCTCTGTTCACTTCAAAAGCAAATTTCAAATTTTCTGAGCATATATATAAAAGATAATTAATGTTACTACTACTTTATGAAATACAATCTGTGGCTACATGTTTACCTTATACCCTCTATTGTCAGAGTAAATAGACTTAGAATAATGTTCAAGCTAATGTCTATTTTAAATTCCAGAAAATATAAATAATTCACATATCTAGGACCTGGTATAAAATTATTACTCTGTGCTTATTTTGCTTATGCAATTAGAATTGATCATGTGGACCCTCAAATACCACATATACTATATACACTGACTACTTTATTAACCTGTGTTCCCCAATTCATTCCAATAAAGTTAGATGGGACATTTAATTTATGTTTTAAATACTGGAAAGCTATTATGACCTGAATGTAGCCTTCAAAATTCACTGTTAATGTCATATTGTTAAGAACAGGGCCTTTAGGATGTGATTCAGCCATGAGGGTGGAGTCTCATAAGACAACTTTATAAAACAATTGGAGGGAATTAGCATTAGTTCCTTTTTCCCCTCCACCTTCAACCACATAAGGACATAGCATTTGTGCCCTCTGCAGGATGCCATGACAAGGCACCGTCTTGAAAGGACAGAGTATCCATCATCAGACAACTGAATCTATTGGTGCCTTTATCTTGGACTGACCAGCCTCCAGAACTGTAAGGAAATACATTTTTCTTCTTTACAAATTATTGAGCCTCAGGTGCTTTGGTACAGCAGCACCAACAACCTAAGACACTGTTTAATTTTTAAAAAATTGAAATTCAGTTATGAAAAATTTATTTTGTTATTTATTTTTATTATTGTTTTGAATTTTTATTTTAATTCAATAGTTTTTGGAGTACAGTTGGTGTTTCGTTACATGGATAAGTTCTTTAGTGGTGATTTCTGACATTTTAGTGTGCCCATTACCCAAGCAGTGTACAGTGTACCTGATACGTAGTCTTTTGTTTTTGTTTTTGTTTTTGTTTTTGAGGCAGAGTCTTGCTTTGTCACCCAGGCTGGAGTGCAATGGCGCTATCTCAGCTCACTGCAAGCTCTGCCTCCCAGATTCATACCATTCTCCTGCCTCAGCCTCCCAAGTAGGGACTACAGATGCCTGCCAACACACCCGGCTAATTTTTTGTATTTTTAGTAGAGACAGGGTTTCACCATGCTAGCCAGGATGGTCTCGACCTCCGAATCTTGTGATCCACCTGCCTCCGCCTCCCAAAGTGCTGAGATTACAGGCACAAGCCAACATGCCTGGCCCCCTGATATATAGTCTTTTATCCCTCACACCCTCCCAACCTTCTCTCCTGGATCCCCAAAGTCCATTATATTCTTATACCTTTGCATCCCCAGAGTCCATTATATTCTTACACCTTTGCATCCTCATAGTTTAGCTCTCACTTACAAGTGAGAACATACAATATTTAGTTTTTCAGCACTGAGTTACTTCACTTAGAGTAATGGCCTCCAGATCTATCCAAGTTGCTACAAAAGATATTATTTTGTTCCCTTTTATGACTGAGTAGTATTCCACAGTGTATACATACTGCTTTTCTTCATTCACTCAATTGTTGATGAGTGGTTCCACATCTTTGCAAGTGTGCTACTATAAACATGCATGTGTCTTTTCATGTAATAACTTCTTTTCCTTTTGGTAAATACCCAGTAGTTGGTTTAGTAGTAGTAGATTGCTAGATCAAAGGTAGCTGTACTTTTAGTTCTTTCAGAGACCTCCATACTGTTTTCCATAGTGGTTGTACTAACTTACATTCCCACCAGCGGTGTAAAAGTGTTTCCTCAAAATTTATTTTCCTAAGTACTCTGGAAACAATCTTTCTTCTCTTGAGGATACTTGTATAACCTCATATTTGGGCCTTTGAGGAAAGGAAAAGGTCATGGTGTTGGACCTGAGCCCAGTATCCAGGTGTAGAGCTGAGCTGTCAATATGGAGATGCAACTGCAATAAGGACACTATAAGGACACCAGAGGAGGTCAGGCTGAAGGCTTGGTTCAAAAACATAACCCTTGTACATGAGCTAAAATCAAGGCAAAAGGTAGACAGGTGTTGGAACCTGGATCCATTTACTGAATGTAAAGTGAAATGAGGCATGGATTTGAAAGCATGCATAAATACTAGGTGAAGATTCCCAAGCCCTCCAAGCTGGGGAATAGCACAGAATGTGCTTGTTGAAGGAATCTTCACCTGAATATCATCCAATTGCAATGGGGCTTCTCTAGAAGATCATGGCTTTGGAAGGTCAGACTGGGTCTTGACATTTAGATAAGAATTAGTGTGAAAGTCGTGTTAATAAGGACCAATTCTTTTTTAGTATCTTTACTTAAGAAAAAATCCAAAAGTAAAAACTATTACGCACAGAGACTCGTCTAAGAATATTACTAACAATAGCAAAAATTAGAAACAACCTAAACACAGAAAATGAAGATACCACTGAGCAAATATGGTTCACCCAGTGACCAGGCAAGTATCCAGAAAATAGTCACCCCTGCAGCACTTTTTCGAGCTATGGGTTTTCTTTGAGTTTTGGTACACTCTTCCTTTGATTCATGGGGAAATATTCAGGTGAGAGTCAGCAAAATGGATGCAATAATGCTACTCAGAATCAGGGAGCTGGATGGTTCTCATTTGTTCTTTCCTTCTGAAGCCTCTATTCTAGAGACTTTCTTTGGTGATATTCTCCCTCCCCCAAGAATGGAAAATACTAATATCTTGGTTTGATACCTTATGTTTATGATTTGCTTTCTCAGAGCCTATTAGGTCTTTGAGTCAATAAGTTGTGCCTACTGGGATTTAGTGAGCATGGCTTTCACTAAATTCATTGATCAATCTTTACAATAAATATTTATTGTGCATCTATATTTGCCAAGCATGATGTGAACTAGACAGGGCACAAGGTGCTTCATCCAGGGCACCTACCACATGGCAAATAAGATAGATGTGAAATATACAATAACTACACTATCACATGGAGCTAGATATTACTAGGGAAATAAACAGATTTTCAGGAGGGAATTTCAGAGATGAACCTGTTTAAGCAGGGCTTTCATAGAAAGAGATCCTGAAGCAAGGATTCAACCTCAGTGGTATATTTGCAGGTGCAGGCCCTCTGGTGGGGAAGTGGGAAATTGAGACAGGAAAGCAGTCCTATTAAACCAGCTGCCATGGGAAGTAACTGGTGCCGGATCTGACAGGAAAAATGTAGAGAATGATGCAAGATGCAAGTTCTGGAATTATCTCATGGAAGTAGCAAGGAAGCTGGAGTATTGTATACCAACCTGCAGCACTCAACCACAGAAAACTCTGCACAGCAGGTGTTAGTTCCCAGCACTTTGAGGCCCCAGGCTTACAGGCAAATAAGACTTCAATGGTTCTGAAAGTTGTTGGCGCAATGAAATGGTTAATGTTCCAGTGATATGAGCCATGCACCGACAGTGTTGGCTATGGGGCATAATCTGATTGCACAAAAGATGACAAAAGATGGCTCATACGGAATGGAATATCTCAACTCAAATAAATTCAAGTGAATACAACTGGAGTTACTATTTTAAAAGAATGGAGAGATGTCATTGCAGCCAGAATATCCAGCAGGAGTGATCAGCACAGATAATGTGCTTCCAAATCCTTAGGGAGGGAAAGGATGGGCAAGGCATGGGTGATCTGCCCAGGGCATAGCTGTGCATGATGGTATTGAGTGAGGAAGGATGCCCTGAGCCCTCTTCATGTGCATGAAGCTGAAGAAGTTCTGCATGTCAGCCAGTCTGAATACAGACATTTTATAGCATCTCACCCAGCTAACAACACTTTATCAGTCCTGGAATTAACTGATATATAACCTGATCCCAGGGTAGGGTATAGGAATACATGCTTCTCCAGCATGCACAAAGCCTGTATTTATTACCCTTGGATTATCTCAGCATGCACAACCTGGTCCATACACATTCCTGAATTCAGTGCTGGGGAATTAAATCAGGCATATGCTTGTAAGATGTCTTCGTAATTAAAGATGTCTTCTGATTCCAGCTATAGGTCTATATTGTACTCACTAGGGATCCAAGACTATGGTGCATTTCTAGGCATATTTAAATTTATTTGGGATATTCGTATTATTTTATTAATAATATATTAACATATTTCAATATATAAATATATCAAATTTATTTAAAATATTTGTATTCAGAGATATTTATGGGAATCCTAAAGGAAACTTGAAAACAATAGCATCTGTTTAAAAAATTACTGTTTAAAAAAGTTCCCCAGCACTTTTGGGCCCCAGGCTCACAGGCAAATAAGACTTCAGTGGTTCTGAAAGCTGTTGGCGCAATGAAATGGTTAAGGTTCCAGTGATATGAGCCATGCACTGACAGTGTTGGCTATGGGGCATAATCTGATTGCATAAGCACTGTACTGCCAAAAGATGGCTCAGATGGAATGGAATGACTCAACTGAAATAAATAGACACAACAGTTACTTGGCAAATAGTATGAAGTACATATTCTTTACCATGTAGCAAACTTGTATTCCTCATACATACATCATAGAACTGTGACTTTGAACAAGTTATTTTATGTGTCTAAGTCTCACACTGTTAATCTGTAAAGGTTCTCATAATAAGATTATGAAAGATTAAATGAGTTAATTGCTTAGCAACAGTATTTGACAAAAAGAAAGTAGTAAAGGTTAGCAAGTGTTGTTTGTTGTTAATTTCTAAGGGATAACCATATAATTTATTAGTGAGGAAGTCCTTTTACTATAGAAGTTTTATTTTAAATGCTATTTTACAAAAACAAAGATTTTTAAAACTTGAACTCACAAAACTTTCATGTTACCTTGATATTAAGGAAGGATTTCAAAATTTTTGAAAGATCATCTACTTTGAAAATGTGCCCTTGTGTTTCACTCCTGACTTTGGTGTCTGACATCTGTCCCCCATGAATTTTGATACAAACATCAAGGTGACCCTCTTGTTACACATATCAGCAAGTAATTGCAGAATGTGACAAATTCTTTACTGAATGCATAACCCAGGCTTGATGAGGGCAAAGATTATGGACTCCACCTACTTTGAAATGGCAACTACTTCTGAGATACTCCCTCCTAGATGAATCTTTACATGTGACAGCTTCTCTAGGGCATATCTTAGGCATCAAACTACTGGAAAATAGAGAAGGTCCATTTGCCACTTTATCCAATTATTTGCAGATTGCTCACACATACTGTCCTTGCCAACACAATATGGTCATATTCAGAAATTTTGCCAATCAGGGGATGAATATAAAATTTTATCTTATTTTTATTTCAATTAGCATTTTCCCACATGTATGTATTTTTCCAAATTCAAATTATTGTTGGTATTCCATGTAATTATTGTTAGTAATAATTTACAAGTTGGTAAATTTTGTTAGATTTTGTTAGATTTTCATATTCTAAACAATAATATCTTGGTCTAATAAAGAGATGATGATTAGATGACAGAAATAGTAGATAGATAGGTAGATAGACAGATAGCATATAGCATATATCTTCATCTACTCTGCTATATACCTTTAACTTTTTAACTTTTGGTGAGTCGTGATATAAAAATATTTACATTTTGACACATTTATGAGTTTTTATATAACTTTAAAAATTTACTTCTTACCCTGAAATTAT